TAATAAACATCCTTTTACATATATCCTTATATATTGATGCTTATAAATCTGCAGGAAAGATAGCCAGAAGTGAGATTATTGGGTCACAGCATACATACACTTTTTTTTTTTTTCCTGAGGAAGATCAACCCTGAGCTAACATCCATGCCAATCCTCCTCTTTTTGCTGAGGAAGACCGGCTCTGGGCTAACATCCGTGCCCGTCTTTCTCCACTTTATATGGGACGCCACCACATCATGGCCTGGCAAGCGGTGCATCGGTGCACACCCGGGATCCGAACCCAGGCCACCAGCAGCGGAGCACGCGCACTTAACTGCTATACCACGGGCCGTGCCCCAGAATACATACGCTTTTAATTATTATGTGTAGTGTTAAGTTAGTATTCCAAAAGGTTGCAGCACTTCAAGTTGTATTTATGTGGCTGTTTTCCCCCATGGAGGTTGTTTTCGATCTTTTTAGTTTTTGCCAATTTAATGGATGACAGAATGGTATCATCTTATTTTGTAATTTCCTGATTGCCAGTGAGGTCAGCCATTTTTCTATTGAATCCTTTTTTTTTAAATTGTGGTAAAATACACATAACATAAAATTTACTGTCTTAACCATTTTTAAGTGTACAGTTCAGTAGTGTTAAGTACATTCACGTTGTTGTGAAACCAATCTCCAAAACTTTTTGTCTTGCAAAACTGCAACTCTATACCCATTAAACAACTTCCGCATTACCCCTTCCCCCCAGCCTCGGGCAACCACTATTCTGCTTCCTGTTTCTGTGAATTTGGCTACTCTAGGCACCTCATATAAAAAGGAATCATACAATATTTGTTCTTTCGTGTCTGGCTTACTTTGATACCGAACCTCTTAATCTCAAGTTCCTGTGCCCAATGCCAAGCAAACCAAACACTGAGACATCGGTGCTTGGAGATGAGAAAGATTTATTCGAATTGGCCAAAATGAGTAGGTGCGAGCCTGGGTTCACTCAAATCCACCTCCCCTGGAACAGAAAGCAGGGGGGTTTTATAGAGCTAAGGGGCTTGGCAGGAGGGGCTTCAGGGAAACAAAGGGGTCACTCCTAATAAGCCTCTGGGCAATCTGACTTCTGGGCTTCAACAGCTGCTGAGGGCTGGCCATCTGTCCAGTGATTGGCCATCTGTCTGGTGATCGGCCATCCAGTGATCGCAACCTCCCCAAAGGCATTCTCTTTCTTCTACAAAACAAGCCTACAAATCCTCGAGGCCCCTGAGTCACCTCTCAAGTTAAACAGAAAAACCCAGCTTCAATTTCACTTAGCATAGTATCTTCAAGGTTCAGCCATGTTGTAGCATGTGTCAGAATTTCTTTCCTTTTTAAGGCTGAATAAAATTCCATTGTATCTATATATGACATTTTCTTTTTCCATTCATCTGTTGATGGACATTTAGGTTGCTTCTACCTTTTGGCTATTGAAAATAATGCTGCTGTGAACATTGCTTTACAAGTATCTGTTCAAGTTCCTGCTTTCAATTCTTTTGAGTATATATCCAAAAGTAGAATTGCTAGATTACATGATAATTCTGTGTTTAATTTTTTTGAGGAACCACCATACTGTTTTCCACAGTGGCTGTACCATTTTACATTCCCATCAGCAATACACAACGGTTCCAATTTCTCCACATCCTTGTCAACATTTGTTATTTTCTGATTTTTTGATAATAGCCATCCTATTGGGTGTGAAGTGATATCTCATTGTAGTTTTGATTTGCATTTCCCTAATGATTAGTGATGCTAAACTTTTTTTTTTTTGGCAAGGAAGATGGGCCCTGAGCTAACATCCATGCCCATCTTCCTCTATTTGTTTTTTGTATATGAGATGCCACCACAGCATGGCTTGATGAGCAGTGCATAGGTCCACGCCTGGGATTTGAAACTGCGAACCCTGGGCTACCGAAGCAGAGTGGACGAACTTAACCACTAGGCCACTGGGCTGGCCCTGATGGTGAGCATTTTTTCATGTGCCTATGACCATGGAGAAATGTCTGCTCAAATCCTTTACCAATTAAAAAGATTTTTTTTTGTCATTGAGGGTTGTAGGAGTTCTTTATATATTCTGGATATTAATCCCTTATCAGATATATCATTTGCAATTTTTTCCTCCCATTCTGTGGGTTTTCACTCTGTTTATAGTGTCCTTTGATGGACAAAAGTTTTTAATTTTGATGAAGTCCAGTTTACTTGTTTTTTCTCTCATTGCCTGTGCTTTTGGTGTTATATTCAACAAACACATTTTTTACTGGCAGAATTACTCCGGGAGAAAAAGCATTCAAGTTAATTTGTGAGGGAAAAAAAAGTAGTCCTTCACATTGGGGAAACTGATCTGATGCTCATAGCTAAGCCTCAGTGCTATTTCAAAACTTAAAGCATACTGTCCTTCCTTTGGACATAAGCAATCTCACAGAACATCAAGATCAGATAAGGTCACTGTGCAACACAAAATAGCAAAGATTCCCCTCTTGCTAAATGAGTGAATGCTACTTCTTCACCAATTTCAGCTTTATCTTTGCTTTAGTCTGCCTTCCCTATAGTTAAGATTTATTAAGATGCCCCATCATAGAATTGCCCTGCTTCCTGACAGCACCCAAGACCCTCCCCAAGATTACCCAGTCAAAGCCCATATCCTGTACAGTCGGCCCTTGGTATCCACAGGTTCCCCATCTACAGATCCAACCAATCTTGGATTGAAAGGCCTACGATGGTTGTCTCTCTACTGAACATGTACAGACTTGCTTTCTTTGTTGTTGTTCCCCAAACAATGCCATATAGCAACTACTTATATAGCATTTACATTGTATTAGGTATTATAAGTAATCTAGAGGTGATTTGAAGTATATGGGAGGATGTGCGTAGGTTATATGCAAGTACTATGCCATTTTATATAAGGGACTTGAGCATCCCAGGATTTTGGTATCCTCGAGGGTCCTGGAACCAATCCCCTGCAGATACCGAAGGATGACTGTAATAGGTTCTTTCTAATACTCTTACTAAGCTGCCCATTGGTTCCCTACAGTGTGTGTTTTCTGAGCTGCAACAAGTAATAAACCTCAACTGCAGATGTCTGGTGGTTTTTGGCTGAAGTTGCATGGTATCTGCTAAGAGGAAATTAAGAGCCACTTTTTGTTAAGCACTTGTTAGCCCTTGTAAAAGATGCTTCTTTACAATTTAAATCATTGCCTAAAATACAATTTTATGGCTGTGTATGTAAATTATTACCTTAATTTTGTTCTCAGGTGTGATTAGTATATAAATATGTATCTTATGAATGCTCTAGACTGCAAGTAAAGAAAAAAGTCTCTAATAGTTACTAAACAAAAAGGGTTTTCCTTTCCTACACAAACAACAATTCCAGAGGAAGGCAAGCTGCTGGCATTTGTTCCTTAGGCTAGTCTCCCTACAATTCCACGAAAGGGTAGGAAGGAGACGATCAGCCACCAACAGTGAAGAAACTGTCCTGGCACTATCATTTAGACCTTATTGTTGCCAGGAGTTCGTCTGGCACTCATAGCTCAGCCTTGGTATTCTGTTGAACATAACAATTGCACAGAACACCACCATGAGACAAGGCCATTCTCTGACTGTGATGGGTCAAGAAAAAAACAAGACCATTCCATAATCATATCTGAACTCAGGAAAAAATGAGAACATTGTCCAAATCGCAAAAAACGACCAAATATCCACCTATCCTGGCTAATATGAGTGACTGCTGCTGCTTTACCCATTACAGCTTTAACCTCACTTCATTCCTTCTGCCTTCTGGATAAAGTTTATTAAGATACCCAATAATAGAACTACCCCTGCTTCCTCACAGCATCTAATCTAGAGAAAAGCCCCGCTTAAACCTCCCCCAAATCACTTAACACAAGGCTGAATACTATAATAAGTTCTTTCTGACACCTTCTGAATTTGACACCCCTTGGTGTGTGTTCTGCTTCATTGCAAACAGTGGGTAATTCCACCTTTGTTTAACTCTAGGTATATTCCTGGTGGTCTTTGACTGAAGGGCATTGACACAGGTCATGCTCAGTTTCCTCTCTATGCTTTTTCTCACATTTGTTCTGAAATTCCTTCTATTCTGTGCATTCAGATCAATATCAATCTTCAAATTTATTGTCAGTTGATCTAGTTCCAAACAACCTAAATCAGTGCTACTCAAAGTGTGCTCTGCAATAAGTGGTTACCTAGGATGTTGGGGGTGGGGAGTGACTGCTAATGGTTACAGGATTTCTTTTTGGAGTTATGAAAATATTCTAAAATTGATGGTGATGTTCCACAACTCTGAATTAAGAAAAGCTGTTGATTTATACACTGTAAATGGGTGAATTGTGTGGTGTGTAAATTATTTCTTAATAAAGCTGTTAAAAAAAAAGTGGTCTAAGTACTAGTACCTGCCTGCCACAGCACAAGTGCAGAAATTGAGGGTAAGGGCCGGCCCCATGGCTTAGTGGTTAAGTGCATGCGCTCCGCTGCTGGCAGCCCATGTTCGGATCCCGGGCGCGCCCGCTTCTCCGGCCATGCTGGGGCTGCATCCCACATACAGCAACTGGAAGGATGTGCAGCTATGACATACAACTATCTACTGGGGCTTTGGGGGGAAAAAATAAATAAATAAAATCTTAAAAAAAAAAAAGAAATTGAGGGTAAGAGTTTAGATACTTTCAAAGCCAATTGACAGGTATTTCATATATGTTGAATATAGTAAGAAACAAAAATCTACACGTGTCTTTTTCGTGTTTGCATTTTCAAATTTCATTTTTCTAAATATTCACTTTTATCGTATATTATAAAAATATCAATCTTCCACGGACTGGGAGAAAACCTCAGATAGTTGAGAAACACTGACCTAAAGGACCTACAACTTTTAACAGTTTAAAACGTGCTGCTCCGGAGTAGCTCTCACTGAGGAACTACAATGCCCAGAATCCCCTCCAAATGCGTAAGCGATGTCTCTTCCGCAGAGCTGGCCGCGACGTCTTCTGGAACATGTAGTGTGTGCCTTCCGCCGTGCACGCTGCGCTAGGCCGGCATTTTTTCCTGTTTTGGGCACGGAGACCACCAGAGGAAAGGTGAAGTGTCTTGAGGAAAGTCTAAAAACTCTTGGACATGAGAGAGGGCTGAGTGACACAACCGAGCCAGTTACGTCCCTTGTTGGGGACCAGGAATAGCCTTGACTTCTGGAGCCATGGTAACCCGCCTTCCCCAGGGTCCTCCTGAAAATGCCGGGCGCTGAGGGAAGAACTTGCCCGCGAGTCAGGGCCGGGTAGCGGCGGCAGGTGTACTTTACCCCCCGGCATGTTTTCGGGCCCGGGGTACAGGGTTCGGCTGAGAAACGGAGGCCTCTTTCCGGGTATTGGATTTTCCGGAGCGCGGAGGACGAGGGCAGGGCTGAGCACACTCCTAGCCGGGACCCAGGAGACCATGTTCATTCTTTCAGCGCTACCGTGTCCCCGGCGCGGGGGATGCCTGTCATTTGCAAAGGGTGCCACTTATACCTATTCACGGCCTGTGCCTATCTCATTTATAGACCCAAGGCGCCTTTTTTGGTTGGACTTCCCCCAAGGTCACTTAGCTGGGGCTGAGCGGGGGACTTGACACTTTGGTATTCTAACCATTGAACTGCTTCCACTTTGAACTGTGGATAGACAGAAGAATTTTGAAGATACGTTTGCTTTTGGCGGGATTTTTTGAGTATGTGTGATCCAGGTCGGCTTGGGTCGGGATGCTGTACTGATTGCCACAGGGTAGCCAACACTGCCTCATCGTTTTTTCTTGTGAACAGATAGCTTAACGTAGTCGTAGAGAGGAGTCTGAGGCATACTTGTGGTGTTGATTTGTTGATGTAATGAGGCTGTGCAAGTTGAAAGAGTCGAAAGAACTGGGTGGTTGTCCCAGCTTCACTAGTACTAGAGTCGTTTTTTAACCTTTTTGAACCTAGTTTTTCTTATTTGTAAAATGCAAATGATAATATCTACCTGGCAGGTTAGTTGAGAGAATGTAATGGGATAATATATTTTAAAAGTCCTTTGTAAAATGTTGCCGAAGTGTCAGAGGATATGATTTTAGTCCCAGTTTTTCTAACTATTGTTTCTCAACTAGAAATATAAACAATTATATTTTTAAAACAAATTATTCTTTTTCGTAATTATCTTTGGTTCTTATATTGCTTCACCATATCTTGATGCAATATTTGATTTCTTCCTATTTCCTGCTTGGAGCTTAAAATCATCTCTCTTATTGGTTAAAACCTGTCTAAGATCAGTAGTGATTAAATTGTTTGAGTTCATTTAGAATACAAGGAGAAAGGAGCAAGAAATTATCCTGAAAGCAAATATACCAGAGACTATCCTTCTGAAAAAGAATTTTTTTTTTTGTTAGGGCTTTGAATGAATGGCTACTTTTTGTAGAAACTTTAAAGGTGATATATTTATTTATTACAAACAGTTTTACTCTTTCGTTGAAAAAGACACTTCTGAGTTTGGGATTTTTTTTCCTTTCTGCTTTTATGGTCAAATTTGAAAACTTGATGTAAACGTCAGATTTAACAAACATTTTTTAAGTGGAGTACAGAAAGAAACATTTAGTTTTAGATCAGATCCTGCTATCTGGTTCAGACTAAGAACAAAGCCTCTAGTTAATGCAGAAAAACTTACTTTAATTTGAATTTTGATATTAATAATATAAGCATAACCATCTTAAACCAATCCTTTTACAGAAGCTGTATATTGGAATGGGATTTGGAGTCATCATAATGGAAGCAAAATACATGAAGGAAAAACAATTATTTTTATACCAGCATACTGCACCTGACTGCTATTTGCAAATGGTTTTCTTTGCCTAAGAAAATTTGTGATGTAAATGAAAAGATACCTTTTTTCTAGACTCATTGTTAGTTAAAGTATGCTGCGCCTAAGAGCTATTTGTCCATTCTCCTGGAGAGTGTTTCAATTTCGACCCTTTAGTTGCGAACCGTTAATTAGCCAGATGAATAAGTGTACAGATGAAGAGCAAATATTTGATCTTATTGAAAAAAATAAAGCCATACTTTCAGAAAAGCAATTGGGATGTGCATTTAATGTACTTTGGCAGTTTCAAAAGCAGAAGACCAGCTTGTTAAAAAAAGTTGAATGTGTCAGAGGCCATCCCCAATTTCTTACTCTGCGCAATTTAACTACAAATAAAATGGAATTCATGAATGATGATACCCTGGTGAATGTGTTGTACATCACACAACAGTAAGTAATGTACTTTTAGATTTTATAGAAATGATTGTAGTTTATCTTTTATTTTTCTAAAAATCTCTTTAAAGTGAAAAACAGTGTGTTTTTTCCCCCATAAATAATAGTTTTCTTGATCATCTAATATCTTTAAGATGTTTAGAGGATATTCTTTGATTATGGTAATAATTTCACGATATATATGTATATCAAAACATCGCGTTGTACAACTTAAATATATACAGTTTTTGTTTGTTAATCATACCTCAATAAAGCTGGGAAAAAATTTTTTAAAGAAAGAAATTTTACATTGTTTGCAAGGAAATCCAGCCTTCAGAAGAACTGGATTCCCTAAATAAAGGATTCAGCAGGATGTCAGTTTTGCTTTCTCAATGGTCATGTTAGTTTGGAAAATGCTGAACTAGACAAAATTAAACAGATCTTTATTGCAGAACTCTTCAGAGCCTTTAATATGCCAATGTATATTGTGAATCTCTAAGAAGGGGCATTTTCCAAACTTATTTAACAACAAGACATTGTGTTGTCTGATGTGTGTCAGGCACAGATGGAGAAATGCTGCTTGGTAGTGATTTGCTTAAAAACTGCATTTCTATGTTTCCCTCTAAGTCATGTTTTAATAAGGAAAGGATTTCAAGAGTAGAATATAATTTTGTTTTCAAGTTTTTTAAACACAATGTAGTTCAATTTTGCTTATGACTCAACCTGAAAGGCTTTGACTTTTAGGAGACACAATAATATAGACTTAACATTATAAAGATGTTGATATCGGTTAAAAAGAGAGATTTTTATGCATACAATTTATAGTATATGTGGCTTAATTATATATATATATAAATATCCCATTGGTGGTGAAGGTATATTGGAACAGGAACTCTCATGTGCTGCTGCTGGTAGAATATGTATTGAGAACTTTTTTTTTTAATGGTACCAATTTTTTTTTTTCTTTTAATTTTTTTTTAATTTTATTTTTTTTTGTGAGGGAGATCAGCCCGGAGCTAACATCCATGCTAATCGTCCTCTTTTTGCTGAGGAAGACTGGCTCTGAGCTAACATCTATTGCCAATCCTCCTCCTTTTTTTTCCCCAAAGCCCCAGTAGATAGTTGTATGTCATAGTTGCACATCCTTCTAGTTGCTGTATGTGGGATGCCGCCTCAGCATGGCCGGAGAAGCAGTGCGTTGGTGCGCGCCTGGGATCCGAACCTGGGCTGCTAGTAGCAGAGCGTGCGCACTTAACCGCTAAGCTACCAGGCTGGCCCCCTGTATTGAGAACTTTAAAAATACATTTGGACCCAATAATTTTGCCTCCAAGATTAATCCCAAGAGAGTAATCTGAGGTACATATAAAGATTCTTGTACATGGATATTCATCCCAGCAATGTTTATAGTATTGAAAAACTAAAATTTGAATAGTAGGTGAATATTTAACTAAATGATGCTATATTCACTTAATGGAATAATATACAATCATGAAAAATCATGTTTTGAAGAATATGTAATGACTTGGGCAAATACCCACAATATAATGTTAACTTACTGAAAAAGGCAGGATGTAGAAATTCAAAAGAAATAGGTATATTTGATATGTGTGTGGAAAAAATAAGTGGAAAGAAATGCTCCAAATTAATGGTGGTGGCTATTTATGAGTAGCAGAGTTATAAATGATTTTTATTACACTATTAAAGTTTTTCTTTTTTTTTTTTTTTTAGATTTTATTTATTTTATTTTTTCCCTCCAAAGCCCCAGTAGATAGTTGCATGTCATAGCTGCAGATCCTTCCAGTTGCTGTATGTGGGACTCGGCCTCAGGATGGATGGAGAAGTGGTGCCTCGATGCGCACCCGGGATCCGAACCCGGGCCACCAGCATTGCAGCGCGCGCACTTAACCACCAAGCCACAGGGCCGGCCCTAAAGTTTTTCTTTATTTTACAAACTTCTCTTATAAAAATATTTTTATAATCAGAGCAAAGTAATACGTGTTACATGTACTTTTAACATGAAGTTTATCTTTGAACATTTTCATTGTTCAGTGGAAGGCATTGAATGGACAGATAAAAGGGTGAGAGGGGCATGAGATAAAGTATGGATGTTTATTAGATTGTACCAAGAAATCAGAATACTGAAATGGAAGTGGACCAGAAATAAGGACTGACTGTAAGAGTATAATAACTGGAGGTTCTCTTTTGCCTTATAATTCTTGCTACAAGTGTTTTTAATAATTTTAAAATGCTTATGTATGAAAAATTATTTTCTCTTGTTTTTATTGAGGTTTGCCGTTGAGGCCCATGACCCGCTAGTTGAAGCACTAGTTACAGAAGCATGGAGAAGGCTGGAAAGGCAAGTGCTCTGGGCTCTTCATCCAAGATCAGGGTTATCTTTTTCAGGGTTAGCACAGTGAAATCTTGTAGGAGAAGAGTGGGAAGTGTATTTTATACTTAAGAGAGAAAGAACAATATTTCAAATGTTCCCTCTTTAAATTAAGACCAGGCTACATAGTATGTTTTTCCACATATATAATTAATCAAAATACAAATAAAGTAGAGTCACAGCTCTTCATGGACTAGCATTTTTGAATCTTCTTTTCTGGAAGACTTCTACTTCAGAAAGAAAAGATTCTCTGAGTGATAGGCTGTCAATTAAGACCTAGAAGCTCAGGAGCCATAAAAAGAGAAAAAAGAAGACAAGTTTAGTAGAAAGAAAAACTGTGTAATACTGTTTAGCAGCATCTGTAGGTACTTGTCTATCACTCCATCTTTATGGAGAGGCAATTAACAAGGCTCATAGGTGACTTAGAAACTTTCAGGTCCACTGCTGTGAATAGTATCAGTTCAGATCTGTTTCCTACACTATACACACCTATATTTTCGGTGTGTTGTCATAATCAAAAATCATCTATAAAATGTGAAATTTGTCCGGGGGATTCTTCTTATGAGTATTGAGAAGTCTATTCTATACTGTACTATACTATACTATTTATACTGTATAACAATATGCAAGAAGCTCTTCATTTATAAAAGAGCTGAGGTAATAACAGAGCTCATTTTGGTGAATCTTCAGCTATTTCTGAAAACGTTGAATTTTTTTTTTTTTTTTATAAATGTATGTGGTGGTTCTGCAGACCCAATCTAGCCTTGGTCTCAACACCTGTGCCAGTGGTTCTCAACCTGTCTGCACTATGGGATTACTCAGGAAGCTTTATTTTTTTTTTTTAAGGTTTTATTTATTTATTTTCCCCCCAAAGCCCCAGTAGATAGTTGTATGTCATAG